ATGGGGATCAGCATACCTGTTTCCTAGAAAAGCACACTAAATCAATAAGGGGCGAAAATGGAATTGGTGTTTATTTACAAGAATGATAGACATGTAGATAGTGAATGTTTACATTTTGTAAAAAGCTCTTAACAAAAAAAGAGAGTAAGAAGCATATTTCAATAAAGTATGTTCGAGGTATGATTGTCGTAGCATATTTTAAAAAAGGACATTTAGATCGAGTAGACGGCGAATGATAAAATCAACCTCTACTGCTGCAAGTAGGATCGAAGTACGATCCTATTGGACATACAATAGCAAAAAGGGATAAGCAAAGACGTTGTCAGATGAAAAACTGAACATCAAAACCACGAACATTTTATCAGAAATGCAACGTAACATCATGCATGCTTTCTTTCCAAAGTTTCATAATAAATTGAACAACTAAGTGGTATATACTTCAGTGCATATTTTATATGCTTTCATGTACTGAATATTTTACGTATTTTTAATTATTTTATATAATTAAGTAGAGTCCCGCAGTGGACTGATCGTTAAGACACGGTTCCCATCAGATCACCGAAGACAAGCATGACTGGCTGCGGTTAGTGTGCGGGTGGGTGACCCACTTGGATCAGTCTGCGTAGGGACCGAGGGTGTGCGGTGTTAGTCCTCGTTAAACTGTGCTACCGTAAAGTGCTCGACTTCCAGTGCAGGTCGTTGGGCTACCGAAGCGGGAGTGCCATCCCCTGTGCAGAGGATCAAAATTGTGATGGCATGTATTCGGATCATCCTCAGGGATGTTTTCCAGACCGTCGCCAATAGCCCATTGTGCAGCTCTAGTGCGACGTAAATGAACAACAACAACAATATATGTACTTAAGTAGTTTAAAAATGCTCTACTAAATAAATATACATAAAGTAAAATTGCGTGGTATTATTTATTTACTGAAATTGGCTCTTTTCATTTTGTTCCTTTTTTGTAATTCCAAAATTAAAAAATAATAATAATAATGTCCACAAACATTATCAGAAGTCTAATATTTGATTTAGTTTTTAGTAATAATACAATTCATACTTATTCTGTACCAAAAAAATTAAATAGACTTTTAAAATAAGAACTAACTACAATATTTGCATGTTTTATCAAGAAAAATCATTTTCTCTCTAGAATGCCCAGTGTCCTCAAATGAGGACGGGCTGTAATTTTAAAATTAATGCAAAATATGCACAAATTTTAAGGTTTATACTCTATTTAGGTCATAATAAATAGGATTTGAAAGATTCAATGAAATATATTAAGTATAATTATTTTGGGCGTTAATGGGTTAAAGTCACAAAACGTACTAACTCTGAATAAAACTTTTTTTTAACACGCATTGAAAACAAAAAGCATAAAAAAAGCATTGAGTATCAAAATATTCCCATGTGGGTATTTTAATCTTCCTTAAATCAAGTGCAGATAACTTGTATGGCCTCGTTCATTGATTATTTTATATATTAAATAAGCAGAAGCAAAATAAAAGGAAGCAAAAGATGATGTCTAACATTAACTATGCTGATAGACAAATGGGTGAAACAGATTCTTTTAACCACAGCTGACTCAACTGATTAGCGAAATTCTTATTGGTTGCTTGCAGAAATCTATCAGATCACTATTAAACAGAATAACTAAGAGCAGTGCAAAGGACCTCCTGTGAACCGCGATGGCTCAGGGGATAGAGTCCAGTGAGGCGAACCGTGTTCGAATCCCAGTCGATACGAATTCCGCATCCGGCTTGCACCGACCACACTGCTGACCTGAAATGTCCTCAGTGGTATCCAGATCATGGGTTAGAGTCTCATTGCTGTCAGGTTAAACGTGGGACGTTCTTGTAGTCTTCATCTCCATGTAACAGAAATGCGGATTAGTTCCCTCAAAAAGTCTTCCGCGGAAGAAAATTTCTCGCAATACTTGATCCAGGAGTTCCCTTGTCTTCTGGATTGCGTTCAAAATTACAAGGCAGCGGAGTTTAGCATTAGTAGTCGCAAACAGATAAAGTTCAGTCGGCTGTTCAACGACTGTTCAACTATGTGAGATATTCTCACATGTGTGATTCAATGTTCTTTTACTTTAGTGAAGATAACTTCTATAACCTCTATCAATGACCATTTAATATTACTTAAGAACTTAATTTTAAATTTGTCCGAGAGACCAGGCAACTGTCTCCCGTTTGGGAAAAGTGTCTTGCTATTTTTCTCCAGTTAAAAGTAAACTGAACAAAAACACATATTCCAATATTTGTTATGATGAAAGCGTGATAGAAAATGTCCTTACATTTCATATCTTAAGAGAATTTGAATTAAAAGAAAAATATGTTGTACAACTTATAGAATACTCACCGAAATAACAATACAAAAAATATTTTTAGTCATTTTTTTTATATATGCAAAACTTGGATGATTTATATATCTATTATTTTGGGTAAATTGTTCTAACTGTCCAATAAAGATGATTTTAGGAGCGACCTTCCTCCCAGAAAACAAATTTGTACTGATTAACCGAAAGTGGTTACTAGGGAAAAGTTTCACTGAAAATATATTTCATATTAATAAATGTAAATCAGAAGTTGTTACAAGGCTTAGCAAATTAATTTGGTTACCAAAGTTGTTTTAATCTGTAAATGGGCTTTAAATGGCATCTGTAAATACCTGTAAATGGGCCTTTGATTTTTATTATTAATCTTTTAAATTTCGAAAAATTCCTCTTTCCCTTTTTATTCCTCTCATTTTATCTGTACAAAATTTTAAGAAATTTCATGACCCTGGCACAAATCCATGGCCATTAGTAAAACATGCAAAAAGGCATTCAAGTTCAGGGTTGCACTGATTTTAACAAAAGAAAAGTTTTTTTTTTGTTTTTTTTTTTAAATTTTTTTTCTTAATAAAGTAGCATATTTTTTAAAGGCTGACAAAAAAAAAATTTCTGTCACTTTTCTGTTTCGAACGAAGAATTCCCCATTATTTTTTATTAATATTTTTAAGATCATTCAGTTGTAGAAGTTAAAAGACTTTGAAAGCCAATACTGCCCTGTGTTCTTATATTATTATAAGGAATGAAATAACTTGGATAATTTTTATAACACTTAATGAATTTGAGGAGAAAAAAGGGTTTCAGCCTTAGCGCACTAACTCATCATATATTAATATGAATGTAGAAAAAGCAAATGTGATGAAAAAAATAGTAAATTTATTTTTGCTAACAGAAGCTATTGAGCCGCGATGGCTTAAGGGTTAAAGCTTTCACATTCCAATGAGATGAACCGGGTTCGAGTCAAAGCGATGGCTGGTCGACACGAATTCTGCATCCGGCTTGCACTGACCACAGTGCTGACGTAAAATATCCTCAGTGGTAGACGTATAATAATTCAGTGTCACATTGCCATCAGACTAATAGTAGGAGGTTTTCGTGCTTTTCTTCTCCGTGTAACGCAATGTTCTCCATGTTAGTTCCATCTTAAAGTCCTCCACAAAGACACATTTCTCTCAATACTTGTTCCAAGAGTTCCCTTGTCTTCTAGATTGGGTTCAAAATTACAAGGGAACGGAGTTGAGCAATAGTAGTTGAAAACCCAGTAAATCTGGTCGAATGTTCAACGACGGTTATAAAAATAAAATTTAGAGATATTGGAGGAAAGAGATTCTGAAAAGTGAGGTTCTACTACAATAAATGGGTCTTCTTGTGAAAGTTTGAGAAAGTCAGAAGTTGAAGACGTGTTCCCAGGACCCCAAATTATTGCTAAAGTAAAAATTCCATTAGAGATATTTGGTTGATAGAAATTTACATTAATTTAAATAGTAATTAAATAATAAGTGACATTAAATTGATGTCATTGAATGATTAGATATAATTAAATGAGTAATACTAAATAGTGGCACAGTAATAAACGAAGCAAAATGTCATTCTAATATAATACTTAACAACAATTGAAATGTCATATGATTGCCAAGGAAGAAATGTCTTGAAAAAATTTTAAAAATTGGTTTGAAATAACAAAATAAATAGAAACGAATGGAAAGATTTAATAATTCATAACATAGACAGGTATTTCATTATATAAAGCTAGCTGAATATATGTCCTTCGATTTTTGGGTGAAAAAAGCAAATAATCAATAAATCAGTGCTGGAAAACACTACAAAACCACGGGTAAGGCTGAAAGATATAAACCAATACAATCAATATAGCTAGAAAAAAATTGTTAAAAAAATTTATTTCAAAATTACAATCGCTACCTAAAAAAATTTTATATTCAACAAATGATTATGGTTTGCTATAAGGGATGGAGCAAGACTAAACTTTGCATATCCTTTTAATTTCGCTAGTTTGAAAGAAATTAAATTTCCCGATAGCAATTTTCGTATACACCGGGATTCGTGAGAATAGTAATATTTTCGCATATTATTGTGGAAATTGTGTTATAATTGAAGGTGCGAGTGGTTATTTATCCCCCCACTCTGAATTACAATATAAATACCTACTTTAAAATTCTGAAAGAAAAAAAACTTTCCTTTTATTATAATATTTTTTTATACTGATTTTTAGACTGAAAATTTCCAAACTAATTAACATTTAATAATTCATTATGAATAATAATTTATACATAAAAAAGAAACTATAAACCAATAAAAGAGAAATATAAAAAAATGGAATACATTAAAAGGAATAATAACTTATACATAAAAATACTACTTTTCATGAAGATAAACCAATTTTTCTGTCAAGGTTTATTCTTTTTTTTCTCTGTAATATATTAAGAACTGAATTGACTTCAAACACGAATATCACCAAAACATTTTATGCACAAACGCAAAATTTTTACACTCATTCCAGAAGATTATTTCCATGAAGAAAATATTCATGTTATGAGGAACTGCGAATTTTTCTGACCGACGCAACATCTCTATGCTCTCTAAGTCTTCAAGAACTGATTTAAGCAAACGAACTTGATCTGAAATTAAACCTAAAAGGATTTTGAAAACGATGGTGGCATATTTTCCCTCAAAACTTAGACTCGCAGCTCTACCCTTCACCAAAGCCATAGAAGTTATAAGAACCGACAACACTACCATTATTTCGGGAGTTGAAGCTGAATTTATAAAACTATTGGCACAAGCATTAAATTTCGAATATGAGATTTTTGTTCCTCCAGATCATTTCGGGGAAATGGATGCATTCGGAAACTACACTGGAATGATGGGAATGCTGCAGAGGAATGAAGTTGATATGGGATTCACCTATTTAGACATTACCTATGAGCGCTCAAAAGTTGTAGACTCCAGTGCACCTTACTACTATCTTGAAAAAAAGTTTATGATGAATTATGCTCCGTTCTTGTCAAAAACATCAGCATTCATGTATCCTTTCAGCACACTCACATGGATTTTATTCCTTATCGTACTGCTCTCTGTGTCAGTGCTATTTCGAACTTTGATTTCGCCAAAAGATTCCATTATTTCCGTTTTCTTCAATTTGTGGGGATCTTCTTTCGGACAAGGAATGAACTACAACCCTCGCTCAATGTATAGGCGGGTACCACTTGGAATTTGGCTCCTTTATTCATACGTGCTAATTTTATGTTACAGCTCAGTCCTGTTATCATTTTTAACTTCTCCCATCAGAATGAAACAAATAAAAGATTTCAAGGATCTCTATCTCGCTGTCAGAGAGGGGGAAATAGTGTGTCTATCAGCTAAGCAAAGTAAGGAATTAAACAATTTGATGGGAAGCCTTTCTCCTCATTTAAGAGGATTAGGGGAATACATTAAAAAGAATGACTGGTTTTATTATAATCCTGACGATGTCAAAGTTCCGGAACATGTAGCAATACT